TTATTTATTGTGGGTTGAAAACCCTATATGCTCACCAGGCTCCCAAGCCTGACCCACTCATTTTAATTGTATCACAGGTATCGATACGAAGTTGCTTTACACTGAGAGATTAAAAGAGAAGTAGATCACTAGTGTAAATGAATGTAAGTTTTGTTTATGCTTATGTTTTTGTATTGACAATGACATCCCAATGGTTTAAGTGAATAAAATACATTTCTTCGGAAATGATTTGATAACATATTTATCATGTTTTTCTGGGAGCAAATTCCGCAACACTTTTAATCAAATGATTACTCTGAAATTATTTTAAAAGCATAAATTAAATCGGTTTTTTTTTGCCGTGAAATTGGGGATGTCACAACTTGGTTTCAGTATACAATGATGAAACACATGTAAATACTTATACTTTTTAAATACAGTGGTTGTTTGTACTCTGATTACTATAATGCATGTGTTGTGATACTACAAATGAAGTCCTCCACCCCCGGACGTTTCCGCCGTCTGGTTTGGGGGTGTGACATCTTTCCTCCTCTTCACAATCCTATTTTCTCCTTTTTATTTTTCTCCTTAAAAAACTTCATTTCTCCTTCTAAATCCCTCCTTTCCTTCCCCCTCTGTCCTAAGAAAAACTCAGAAAAACTCGAGAATCTAGTGTTAAAGAGATAAGGCTTTTTTTACTTTCAGTATTATCTAATTTCAAATCCGTAATCATTTTTTATTTTCACAAGTTCTATTTTGTTTTGGAAAATCTTTAGAAAAGTCATAAAATACCTTAATTTACGAAAAAATCTCAAACTTAAATTTGTTTACGAAAAAACATGAATTATCGGTAAAAATGACGATTTGACCCCTTTTTCCCTGTTTACCGGGTTCATTACTTACTTGTTTCATTAAAGTCTCATTATTTTACCCTAATTTACGAATAAGCCTCACACTAAAATTTAATGATGATTTAGCCTTTTTGTCCATGTAACATACATTTTATCGGTTTCATTGTTGATTTAGACACTTAGTCATTAAATTTGCTGATAAGATGGGTTATATAATACTACATTTACTGTAAAATTTGATATCTATCTCATCGGCTCATTTATAACTATGTATCTAAGTCAGCAATGAAACCAATAAAATGTGTGTTTCTAGGAAAAACTGGCAGGAAATGAACTGATGTCTGATGAGATGGATATATTGGGTTACATAAGGTTAGATAGACAATTTGAAATTTCTTATAAACGTAAAGAATGTCGCAATTGTTGCTAGTTTATATAATTATTGCAGTTTTTGTTGGATGCATTTTATATTCCAAAAAAATATACAGTATATCAAGATATTATGTTTTATGGTAAACATAGCATTATATAACTGAACATATCCATCTCATCAGCTTATTTAATGACTAGACGTCCAGGTCAGCAGTGAAACCGGTAAAAATGTATGTTACATAGAGAAAAAGGCTAAATCAGCACTAAATTTTAGTTTGGTACTTATTCGTAAATTAGGGTAAAATAATGAGACTTTAATGAAATGGGTAAGTAATGAAACCGGTAAACCGGGAAAAGGGGGTCAAATCGTCATTTATACCGGTAATTCATGCTTTTTCGTAAACAAATTTTAGTTTGAGATCAAAATATAAGAATTTTACTAAAGTTTTCACTTAATTATATTAGTTTTTTTATTAAGATATAGATCATTTTTAAAATATTTCATATAAATATATTTAAAATATTCTGGAGCTCATCAAAGTGACACGTTCCTCTTCCACGTATGAAGACTTGACCTATTCCTCATATGAAGACTTGACTAGCAGCTTCTACTAGGGCTGGCAAATACGTACCACGAAGAACCAACCAATATGTTACCAACCGAACCAATAAAATCGGTAGCCAACTTTTTTGGTAACCAATATATTTGGGTGGTAATATCATACCAATTAAGTAAGTCTTGGTATGGTAACGGTGGACGTGTGGACAATGCTATTCTGTGAGAATGACAAAGAAAATATGTTGTTTAATAATATGAATACGTTCAATCTTACATTGTCATTATCACACATTCTCACTAAATCGTCTATAAGGTTATTATATATTTATTATTATTATTCTCATTCTATCAGAATGTTGTCAAATGTTTATTGAGTCGTACTATGTAAGAATGAAAATGAGTGAAAAACGATGTATGAGAACAAAAATGAATAAGAATTAATCAGAATACATGAAAATGTCGATAGTTGTGTAAGATTGAACGTATTCAAATTAGTAAACAACCTATTCTCTTAGTAATTCTCATAGAATAGCATTGTCCACATGTCCGAACAATAGTGTGTGTGTGTGTGTGTGTATATATATATATATATATATATATATATATTATATATATATATATCTTCCTATTCTAATAAAAGAATAGGTTTCATATCCTTCTGCCATGTGTCAAAGTATTATACATTCTCATTAATTTCATATGTCACGTGTTACTTTTGTGGTTCTTCTTTTTGAATTGCATTTTCCCACATTAAATAAGTTTCCATACAAAATAAAATTACTTCATTTCCTTTTTGGGCCTTAGTATGTCATGAATATAAATACATATTCAAATTTAATTTAATTACTTAAATTAAAACATTACAATTAAAATCTAAATTTAAAATTAAACAAATTACAAGGTGATATATTTATTGATTTTACATAAGAAATATTTTTTTAAAAAAACATTACAATTAACATGTAAATTTAAAATTAATCAACGATTATAATTTTACATAACATATAGAATATCTTTTAATTAATAATTTATTTTAATTAATTAATAATAATGAGTTTCTACTATGAAAGTGCAATTAATTTTGTAACCGTGGTTCTCACGGGTTATAAACTAGTATATATATATATATATATATATATATATATATATATATATATATATATATATATCATACATACTTATAAAGCTAACATTTTTCCTTGAACCTCATGCATTTGAAACCCCCATAAAAATTTGAAAACACCTCACGCATTTGAAACCTCCTATTTTAATGAATACCACTCAAAAGTCTCTTAATAATGATTAACAATTCAAAGGTTTTATAACTTATATAATATATTTAATAAACAATTAATGGATACTCTATTATAAAAAGGTCAATCTTTTTGAGTAGACAAACAAATACAAATCACATACAAAATTCACAAAGAAAACAAGTTTAAAGTTTTTTTGTGTTGGTTTGAGGGCTTTGAACAATTTTTCGAGCCATGTTATTATGTTGAAGTTTTTAATTTGTAAGCTTATTATATACTAATTATTTTTTGTATTTTCTTGATTTAAGTATTCTTTTAAGAATATCATTGTATGTTGTGGTTGAAATTTTAATGTAAATTAGATTAGATTCATGTTATCAATCATATGTTATGGAAGATGATATATATAATATTTAATTAACTATTGTATTCATGTTTGTATGTTCATGTTGCTTCAAAACAATAATTAATTAAAAATCATGGATATGTCATATTATCCATATTATCCATGTAAGCCATTTTTAAAATGCAAATTGTCTATCTTATCACTTTATATTTTAGAATATGTTTAACATTTTAATTATAACAATCAAATTACATGGATATGTCATATTATCCATGCAAGTCTCTTTTGAAATGAAAATTGTCTATCTTATCACTTTATTATTTAGTGTATGTTTCACATTTTAATAATAATATTAAGTGTTTCTTAAAAGTCTTCTTTAACTTATTATTAATAATAAGTGGTTTAAAACTAATGAATAACAATTTTAAATGATAATAACATCAAATTATAAATTACATTTAGCTATAAATAATTTGTATTATAAATGAACATCATTATTGAAATTAGAAAATGATCGCATAAGTAAAAATATAATTAATCAATAATAATAATTGTTAAAAATAATACTAAATAGATAATTATATTTAATTCTATTAATGAGGAATGTGGGTTGATGTCAATGAATATTATTGTTCAAAATAATAGAGATTATATATATATATATATATATATATATATATATATATATATATATATATATTCGTGTAAAAATATTATCTCAAAGTTAATGTCAATAACATAACCATTTTAAACATATATTTTTCAATATTTTAACAATATATTTTTAATCTTCGCTGCGCAACGCGCGGGAATTCGTCTAGTGTATATATATATGGAAAAGTTCAATAGAGAACCATAATTATTGGTTCTTCAAGGAACCAAATCTTTTTTTCAATTTCTAGAGCTTATTCTTTATCGAAAAAAAAAATCTAAAAATATCTAAATTCATATATTAACATTGTGAATGTGAAAAATATTTTTCGGATTCACCGTGTGAATCCGGATTCACATTGTGAATTTTCAAAGATTCACATTGTGAATTTGACGTAAAAAAAATCGAATTTGATATCATTGGAAAAAGGATAAAAAGTTATGAATTTCTGTATTTTTAGTTTTTTTTTTGATTAAAAATAAGTTCTAAAAGTTGAAAAAAAGATTGGTTCCTTGGTTAATTATGGTTCTCTATCACCCTATATATTATATATATCAATATATTATATATATCAACGAATATCAATGAATAGATATAAATATCAATTCTTAGTATTTTCATGTTTTAATTAAAGTAACAACCAACAGTCTTGGAATTACTAACATAATTGAGTGATTGGCATCTATAGTTGGTATGATACACGGTTTGGAGGAAAAAAGATCGATACCATACCAATTTCACCCCTAGCTTCTACCTCCCATACCAACTATAAAAGGATTCTTTGAGTTTGTCGTTGTTGAATATATTAAAAGATTACTTTATTAAAAAATTATAAACTATAAAATAACACAACACAAATACAATTTAGTTTTGTTAATTTGCTGCTTGGCGTGTGTTGGCTTGGGTTTGTACACGTTTAAAACAGCAAAGCACAGCAGTCAGTTAGAATATAATAATCTATACACCTTTGTTATAAATAGGCAGCATGCTAGGGTACAGATTACACAAGATGAAATCAAACACAAACCAAACCAAACCAAAACACGAGAACGTGATTCCAACAAACAAAAATCAAAATAAATAATTACATCCCATGACACACCAAAAATTATATATTTACACGTGAAAAGTCAAACAGACTCAAGACCGAATCAAATGAATCATAAAACAGTATTGATATGAAGTGCTTTAAGAAGTGAGGTGGCCATTTGCTTCACCAGAACTTGACCACCAGAGCTTTGCCCATCTCTTCGTTCTTCAATTAAGTTTTGTAATTTTTGAGGCAAATCATTCTCTACAATCAGCTGCTTTGGACGTGGATGATGTTCATATACAGCCTGTCACAACAAAAAAATAAATAAAAATGACTTAATGTAGAATGAAAAAAAGCAACACTTTTCCAAATTCCAACCTTAATTAATTTTAGCAGAGTGAGTCGTGCTATAGCATCCTGGTGATTAAGTCTCGATATGAGTAACGGTGTCAACCCGTTAACAGCCAGTGTTTTATTTATCTCAATTGATTTCCTGCGGCCAACAAAAGGAAAGGATTGATCATACACATATTGTTATGATTAAAAAAAAAAAGTTAATGAATTAAAACATAGAAACGTACGTGATGATTTTCAAAAATGGCTCTAATATGTGAAGGAAAAACTGTTCCGGACAGCACTGAAAGAATCTGACCAACTTCTGAACAGATTCCTTTCTCAACAAAGCTTGTTCCACTTTCTTGTTGTCATTGTCATGTGCCAAACACACAGCAATTGAATCCAAAGCTGTTACAGACCAAAGCTGGTCTTCAAGTAAGCTTAAGTAGACATCCATTCCACCATGCGCTCTCAACTGTTCCCTTGAATTACGTGATGCGTGGGCCATATCACATAACAAAGGCAATGCGTATTGTCTTAATGGAGAATCCGACATTATGAAACGCATTAAATGTGGAATTATTCCGTTTTCTGCTGCCTGTTCCTGTCTCCGTTTATTAATTTTGCATAGATTGAATAGTGCGTTCAAGACCTTCAAACAACAAACAAAAATAATAAACATTATTATTATTCAAAGAAGGTCAAATAATCATAATTAATGAGATATATTTTCACTTACCTCATGATGAATTTGGGAAACAAGAGGGCCATCTTTGAGGTCAAGATTTGGGATAAGATGTTTAATGGCATCAGCTCTTTGTAGATGTTCCAAACAGTGTGGATCCGTGGACAAAAGATTGATGCATTTTAAGAGCTTTAATAGAATAGGGGGTTCGATTTTATTGAACATTTGGAATAACCGGCTGAGTAAACTTTGGCTACACATGTACGACTTCACTGTTGAGTCAGCACCCGCGAATTCAAGTAAAAGATCCGCCACTTTTTCAAGATATTCCCTCGCCACGTCAGCATTCCATGGGGACACCATGTGGGACAAAAGTCCAGATGACGTGGCACTCCCTGGTCTAGCATTGAGAACCCCGGAACCCGAGAGTACACCTGATGCTGTTTGAGATGCAATTCCTGATGTGGACGCCCCACCCCCGCCATCATTGGACCCCACCACCCCCGTCTTTTTGTTATTAACTAATTTATGTGGAGTTTTAGGCATCGACTCATTGTTATTAGCATTTTCCCTTCCACGACTAGAAGCCTCTGTTGAATTCAACAAACAAAATGATAGAGGAAAATTACATTTTTGGTCCCTAAGTAACTATAGCTTGTATTTTCAATTTTGGTCCCAAAAAGTTCTGTTGCAATTTTAGTCCTTTTTTGAAGTTCTTATAACGTTTTTAGTCCTTGTTCCAAATAAAATGATTATTTTTGGGACCAAATTTGCAAATAATAGCTATATACTCAGAGACCAAAACTGAAAAATTATTTGGGACCAAAACTGAAAAATCAGACCAAAAAATGTAATTTACTCAAAAGAAAGAAAGTCATAAATTACCAGCAAATTCAGCCATTAAGAAATCGAGCCCATTGTTCTTCTTTTCAATAGAAGTATGCAAAAGTGGGAGTATACTTTCATGTTTTTCTAATCCAGTCAAATGGCGAACATATTCAAGTTGACCAGAAAAGTGTCGCGAAGGGGGTTCTTTTTCCAAAAGACTTAAAAGAGGCCGGACATTTTCTTGCCCATTTGATACAACATCCATAGATTTCCTAGGCCTATCAGTGGACAACCTTCCAAAATTAGAAAGTCTCTGTTTATGTTCAACATCTTGTGAACCATCTCCCCTCTCCTCCTTCACTGTATTCGAATCTGGTGATCTTGAATTAAATGGAGCTTCAGCACTGGTGTTGCTTGATTGATGATGATGTTTATCAATGTCTAAAGTGAAGAATCTTGAATCAGGTGAATGAGAAGATGATTGATCTGTTGTTACACCGTGTTTGACTTTGACATGGTCAACATAATCCATCCCATTGGCTGCACTTTCAGTTTGCATGAAAGTGTTACTACTTGAATCTAATGGACCGGATCTTGATCGGGTGGCTAAACCTAAACCTAAACCATCCATTGAAAAGCCACCTCCACCAGATATGGAAGCCAGCCTGGTTGCTTCATTTAAGCTATAAAGGGTATTTATGAGCCTCAGTAATATTCCGTTTTTTGCAGCTATTCGACAAAAATCATTCCTAAGTGTTGATCTTTGAAGCTTAAATACCTGCCACATTCCATCAATAGCTAGATGGACCATTTCCCTGGAATTTGGAAAGCTTCATTAGAACATTCACATTCTAGAATGTAATCATAACTGCTTCAGTTCTGTATGAAATTATACAAGTTAAAAGAACTAAAAACCTGTATTTTGCATAATCAGCCTCCAGAAATCCCACAAGAACAGGTATCCCACGGCATGCTATAAACATTTGTAATGTCAATGAGCTGTAACAAAAAGATTCCACCTCAATACAATCATCTTTTTATAGTATAAACACAAAGAAATTAGAAAATTTAGGGAAAATGAGAAAAATTTATACCTTGACTGACAAAGTTGCTGCAAAAAGTAAGCTGCTTCCATACGAACCTCTCTTGTTCTATCAGGCACTGCAAACCCCATAACAACAGGTACCTGGGGAGGTTTTTTCGTAAATAAAATGAGACTAAATGACCATTTTACCCTTATAGGTAAAGGGTTGGTGTCATGATCCATTAAGTCAGATTCTTTTGGATAATTCCAATTAAGTCATTCTGTCCACAGATTAAGTAAAAAGAAACAACCCCTAAATACTTACAAGTCCAACTAGACAAGCATTCTCCTGAAAGTCAGTGTTATCCTTGATAATTTGATTCAAGACATGAAGCACGGAGCATATAACCTGCACCTACAGAATAGCATTAAAATATATTACTAAAATATTTAATATAATAATAATAGAAGAACAAGATTTAGTAAGTAGTAAGCCACTTTGAATTGAACATACCCGTGTCCTAGGAACCTCAAGCAATTCCAGAAGAGGAAGTAATCCATGTTGGGTCATAAAAACAAGTTTCTGTTCAGGGCGATGTTGAAAGAAAACAGTTAACTTATGACACGATGACACAATCACATCTTCTGATTCCTCTGGTCTCAATGAAGAAACTAATTTCCCAAACTCAACAGCTTGCAGGTGAAAAAGATTGTCTGCAGGTAGTTTATCATCAAACCCTAGGCCATCAATACCAATCACATCTTCTTTTAAAACACCCATCATAAGATGAAGTATATCTCCTCCATTAGACTGTCCACCTGGTTCATTCTCCAACTGTTTTTGAGCAATTGTAGCCCTTAAATGTGTTGCCAAGTCAGCTCTTCCAGTATCTGTGTTCCCTTGATTATTATTATTATTCATGTGTGATGAAGAAGCAGATGTTGAAGCTTCAGCTGACCGATCTTCAAAGGTTTTATCCATTGGTTGAAATAAATCGTCCAATGAAGCATCGCCAGGTGTATCACTGAATTTACTCAGTTCGTTGTTTCCTCCAACTGTTCTTGATGCTTTCACAGACTTTTGAGAAGTGTTGTCATGGCCTTTGTGGCTAGAAGTAGTTGAACTGGTTTCAGTAGTAACAGAACTTCCGTTTTCTTTGACTTTTGTGGTTTTTGATTTTGACTCTGAGTCACCATTTGTTATCGTTACCTCAGTGGCACCTAATTCTGATAGTAGCTTCTCATGGGCATGTTCTTGATTAGTTTCATTGTTTACAGATGAAGGTTCTAATGGTAATTTCTCATGAATAGCTAAAGTGGCAACTGCAACATCGTCTTCTGATACATCTGCTTTTTCATTACTTGAATCATTTTCCTCATATGACTTGCCAGCAAGAGTAGCTTCAGCCAATAGCAACTCTGTTTTAACTTCCTGAAATTCGGAACATCAATAAGTAAAAACAAATTATATACTGTAATACCAGTGTGTTTGAAACTTTGTACTTATTAGTTTTAATTACAAGGAAATAAATACTTTGACTTTCTCCACAGAGAGATTCTCAACAGTGGTTAGATCATCTGCATTTGAAGTTTTTGCACCACCCACTGAGCCATCATCTTCTATGTTTCTGAAAAAAGAGATGCTCTTCGAATATAAAAACATGATTTTTATATAAAAATATATAATCTTTATCCTTGCAGCAATTACCTGAGTGTACCACTATGGCGAAGTGAAGACTGCAATACAACACGCCTTGAATTTTGTATCCAAGGGTGAGAAAGAAGTGTTTTTGCATCAGGTCTCAGTCTAGCATCCTGAAATATGAAAATTAATGTTAAAACAGAGAATAGATAACTTCAAGAAAAGTAAAAAAGGAAGCATAAAACCAGACAGTCGTTTTACACTTTACCTTTTTAAAGCACTGGCGTAAAAAATCTGTGATACCAGGTGACAGGCTATCTGGAATTGGAGGATTTTCATCCTGAAGGGCAATATAGGAAATTCAGTAAAAATGATTTGAGGACATGGTAAATTAACAATGATAGAATACCTGAACAATCCTAAAGAGAGCTGGCATGGGTTGAAGATCATAGTAAGGAGGCACACAAGTAAGTAGCTCGATTACAGTACAACCAACACTCCATATATCAGATGCAGCACAAACTCCTGACATTTCAATCACCTAAAGGAGAAAAAATTAGACAGGAAAGATCGAGTTTTTATTAAAAGAATAAGAATATATAAATATAAATACCTCAGGAGCCATCCAGTAAGGTGTGCCAACAACTGAATGTGTATTAACATCTGCCTCTGTTAGCTTTGTTGCAACCCCAAAATCTGCTAACTTAACAAGACCCTGAAAAGAAAAGCCAACAGAGGTAGAAAGGTAAGATAAATTTTAGAGCTAAAAGGGCAAAGACAAAAATATACTCTTATACTTACCTCTTTAGTAGTCAAAATATTGGCACCCTTAATATCCCGATGAATAACCCCCTGTTCATGCAAATAAACCAAGCCTTCCAAAACCTGCTCATGCATTAAACTCAGAAATATTTATATCAAAAAATTTGAACCAGGTACATAAGCTCAATGTTAGAAACAAACCTGAGCTATATAAACAGCCACCAATGATTCAGGAAATGGCCCAAATTTGTTTGGCTTGATAATGTTTGCAAGTGAACCATTCTCCACATACCTTAGATTAAAAAGATTATCACCAATTAAACACACTTTCAAAACTAATACAAGTGATAAATGTATTTAAGGTTAATAAATTTTAACACACTTACTCAAGAATTATATGAAGATGGGTCTTTGTCTTTAAGGATCCAAGATACTTTACTATATTTTTGTGGTTCAAATTCTGCATCAAAAGAAAGGCAACATATGGTTTACAAATCACTAGAATATTCCTGCAATGTTACAAAAATTACTATAAAGTAAGACCAAAAATAGTACCTTAAGCAAGTCAATTTCTTGCTGAGAAGTTACCACGTCCAATTGGTTCACAATTTATCCATATAGAAAGCAACAAATGTGTTAATACAGAATATAAGTGGTTGAGTATCATATGCTAATTAACCATATATAAAATACATCACATTACAGCATGTTTGAAATATTAAAAGGAAAAGAAGGAGATAAATTGTACCATGATAATGTTGAGGTCCTCCTGAGCAATATTCTCCAAAGAAACTTGTTTTATTGCAACAAAATCTCCATTCTCCAAGTCTAAACCCTTGTAAACTCGACCATATGCTCCTTTCCCAATCTCATCTCCAAGCATCTTCCAAAACATAAAAGAAATAGCACATTCAAATCCAGTATGAAGATATAGCATGCCAAAAGTAGATCATAACAAAAATAGCATTCCACTAGGGGGGATAAATCTCACAACTGATTTGGTATTTTACTAATAGTTTCCAACATCATTACAAGAATAGAAATGATAGTACCAACCAATCTAGCTATGAGATCTCAAGCTACATCTGGTTGACTTCCAACTACACAAACTATTTCACAAAGCTACATTGCTACGATCATGAAACAAGTCTAGAGAAGTGCTACTGTTTGCCAAAAGATGGACTAAAATTCAAAAACTTCTAGCTATAGGAAAGAGAAACAACAACTATAAGCAACCTCATAACTTCTTTGTAATCTCAAACATCGTTACATGTCTAGAACATGAACTCAACTGGATTCCCAAGGAAGAGCCGTCTTTTGAGTACTGATGTCAAACCTCGTACTCTTTTAATGCAATAGTTATGGAGTGTGATGCAAATATAACATCACCATTAATGTATCAAATTACTTCAGAAATTTAGAGTAATTAACCGAAATTTTCCAAAAACTTCAAAACCACATCAATTCATATTCATAGAGTGCGAGATTTCACATCCAAAGTCAAAAAGATAGCTCCAATTTTTGGAATGAAGGGGATAAGACTACGAAATACCCTATAGAAATTACGCGAAATCATGAACATTTCTTACATATTTGTTGTCCAGGGTCTTCGACTTATGAAAGGCGGTCGTCGTCGCTTGGCGAGACATCTCTCTCCCCTCCCTGTCTCTTTGAATTCAGTAAGGGGGGAGGGTTTTCAGTAACCCTAGAAGAAGAATTCAGCCATTATTGTATATTCAAGTGGAATAAAGCGCTAATCCTTCGATTTTGAAGAAGATGAAAAAGAAGATGTGGGACAACACAATGGCCCGCCGGAAAGTGATCGGCTGCAAAATCTCCGACGAATTGTCAAAAATCGAAGAGGGGCAAAATACTGTTGTTAGGTTGCTCCAATTGGTCGTCCTTTCTGTCAAGATGTCTGTTGCAAAGCCTAATATTATTGTTTTTCGGTGGATTACATAAATCGTCCCTTATCTATTTACAAGTGACACTTTTATCCATCGGAGACAAATTTACTTGTTTGCATGCCTTTCAACAACTTAACTTTACCTTTGTCTCTCTTTTCTTTATCTCATTGGATATTCGAGTTATTTTTCAGAGTGAAAGGGAATGATTTATGAAGAAAGAGAGGGAAGCTTATCGTTTGTGCAAACTGTTTGGAATCTTTCTCGCCAGATTCTGAAAGACATACTATACAAATACAAACCTATGTTTAACATATTTACGAGTTAATGCATTGAAATATGTATAATCTCATTTAAACATAAGACTTGCTTAATAAAATCATTATCATGTATTAGAGTTATTTTTTGTATCATCTACTCTAGTTGCTGTCAGGACCGTTGATTTTTGATGTTTTGTACGAAAAAATAAAAATAAACCCTTAAGCAATAATTGTTATAAAATTAATTAAAGTAAAATTTGTCACCAATATGTTACTATTATGTCGAATGTAGTAATCCGTTATTACTCCACTAATATGTTACTAATTTGTTACTAATACTAGTGTAAGTAAAAATATCCCCCCCCCCCCTAAACTACATGAGTCTTATGTGGTTGGACATCTCACGCATGTCTTGGGTCCTAGCATAAGCATTAATTTTGATCGTTCTGAAAGCCCTACCATAACTTCTCATATGATTGATTCTGAAAACCCTCCCATCACCATTAAATCATGATTGTGAATTGTATAAGTAAAACATTATTTTTTGCTTACTTTCTATTTATTAAGATTATAATATGATTCAAATTGCTACTAATAAATTTAAATTTGTTGAGTTTATTTTAGTTTCAAGTAGTTGATTTGTTTATATAGATTAGTGATTGGATAGTGCAAATTTCTAAATTTTTAAGAGGTTTCATTTTTTTTAGAGTGCAAGGAACAACGTTTTTCCATATAGTGGTTCCATTGTCGTTTGGTTTTGATTGCAGTTAAATAATTCAAAATGATCAAGTTTTATGACTTAAAATTTATTGGTAAATTAGTGATGTTAGATTTGGCTTGATTTTTGGGGTGAAAAATGAAAAATTATACAGTGTTTGGTGAATGAAAATGGAATTGATAAAAGTTGGAGGATTAAGCTCACATACCATCATTGTGGTTGATAATGGAAGCAATAGAGAGATGGTTGCATTTGATCTCGAACATCAAATAGTCATCGATGCGGATTGCCATGACAGATTATCATGTTATCTCTTAATCTCTTCGATGTTAAACATCTGCAAAAAAATTTGTTTGATGTTGTCATATGTGTGGCTTCAACTAGATAGCTGAGAATGATAGAAATATATGTAGAAGCAACAAAAATAAGTTATATATAAATATGAAAAAGGTATGTTGCTTTATATGAAAAAGGTAAGCTCCTATATTGAAAGTTGGATTAAAATATGTTCTTAGTAATAAAATTTCAGTACCAATAAAATACTATAAATAAAATGGAATAAAAGTACATTGTTATTTCATATATTTTGCATTTTTGTACTAACAAAAACCTATGTACACATCTTTAAGAACACTTAAACTCATAATTTTGACAGTATTGACTATTTAAAAATGTTTTAAGTATTTAAAAATGTTTTAAATGGTTATCCCGTTTAAAATATTTAAACCGGACCTTTTAGTATGATCATTAGTTCCAAGCAAGAAGCTACTTGTGACATTTGAATCAAACTACATACATTGACAATGTATAAATAACTAAAATATATTAAATTTTAGTAGTTATAGTTTTGTGGTTAGCTCCTTTTGTCTATTTCCGAAAGAATGTTAGAATCTTTTGTCATTTTTTATTTTATTCATTTTATCTAATTTAAATGTTTGTTGTTATACTAAGTTTCAGACAACACCATGAAATAGGCAAGATCAAAAATATTTTTGTTGTATCAGCAAACTAAAGTAATATGACTATTGATGACAAAAATACTTGAACCATACAGGAAAAACTGGGTTGGCTAAATGGTTATTGGACTGACTATGAAACATCCCAAAAATACGACCCAAAAATTTCGTTTTCAAATCATTACTAAAATCATAAACCATCCAAAGCCATAAGTAAAAACATAAATCATGTTTCATAAAACATCATAGTATCTGTCTCAAATCAAAATCTCATGGTAAAACATCAGAGTAAACTCCTAGGTTGTGATTGTGGTGTGTGTCATGCGATCATCCCGAGCCATTTCCCTTGCTAGTGGAAGTACCTGAAACCAAAACTCAAAACCGTAAGCACGAAGCTTAGTGAGTTTCCCCAAACTACCACATACCATACACATATATCATGCAACTAAGAGATACGGGCCCCGCCCACACTCTGCTGACTCTGACATACGGGCCTCGCCCACACTCAGCTACTTCGAGATACGGGCCCCGCCCACACTCGGCTACTATGAGATACGGGCACCGCCCACACTCATCTACTGCGAGATACGGGACTCGCCTATACTCAGCCACTAATCCAACATACAAGTATCACACAGACAACAAGTATAACTAATTCTAACAGTCAGACATATATCCATAATCAAACTATACTGCGAGATACGGGCCACACCCACACTCAGCTACTAACATTTCATACTACGGGACGGCCTTGGTGCCTTAGACCCATTCCTACTGAAAAGAAACTCACCTAGTATGACTGACTGCTGCAACTCTGGGTGAGGAATCTCTGTCTGCTGCTCCGACGACTCTCCGACTATAAATTTCCATAAAGGTGCTTAGTCAAAATTTGATAACTACATCTAGGGTAAAATGACCATTTTACCCCTGGCTACAGTCAACATCCTGGTCAAAGTCAATACCCAGTTGACCTGACTCGCCGACTTGGTGCACCAACTCGTCGAGTCCCTATTATCCATCTGTTCCCAACCCCGACTCTACTCGTCGAGCCTTGCAAGAACTCGACGAGTTCCCCTTCAAACATAGCATCGAGACTATCTTCATCTGGCTCGTCGAGTTCATCCTTGAACAACTCGCCGAGTCCGTCGTCATGGGTTGGGAGATTGCATTGGACTCACCGAGTCTGTTCATACACTCGTCGAGTCCCAAGATTTCTAGGTCTATAATCATGTGTATCCTTGTGGAGTCCCTCCTAGACTTAACCAGATCCCTTCGAAGCAAAAAGGTTGGGGAACCAATGCTCGACTCGTCGAGTCTCAAGAACGACTCGCCGAGTCCCCTAAAGTCCATGTCCATAAACTCGATTTTTGTTAAGCTCATCTTATCCAAAGGGTAGATCTGACCTCCTAGGGTCGATATAGAACGTAAAGTTAAGAACTTTACGTCCATGCATGGGTCCCTAAGCTCAAAAGACCCTAAAATGAGGTCTACAAGATGCATGGGGTTACTATGGCCCTAAGGTTTGCATCTTTATGCCATGTAACCCTCCCTAGAGCCTAGATCTGAGATATGAACCACTTGGGACGTCCCAACACCAAGGACCAAGGTTTTTGTGCCAAAACCTTTCTTAATATGGGGACAAATAGATCTAAGAGAAAGAATATCAAGTTGGAAGCATGATTACCAGAAAAGATGGCAAATGGGGTGTAGTTCCTGGATCTACTCCTTCCCCCTTGAGTCTTTTATCTTCCACTTCTTCCACTAGCTTCAAGATACACCAAATAACACTCAAAATAACCAAGAAAGCTCAAGTTCACTTATGGAGGATTAGGGTTTCGAGGGCAAAGCTTGAAAGTGATGGAGGCTGAGGTGGAAGCCTCATAAGATGTTTAAATAGGGTGCAAACCCTCCAATTTAGGGTTTCACTTAGACAGCTCCTACTCGCCGAGTCGGTCTTCCGACTCGTCGAGTAGGTCACTTAATCCCCCGACCCCGGAGTCGATCCTACTCGACGAGTTGGGCCTCCAACTCGCCGAGTCCAAGGGTAAAATATGAAGTTTGGCTCGAATTTAAATACGTACCTGATACCGGATGTTACAGACTATGTGATTTTTCTATAAAAATTACAAATTTGATATGATTACGATATTAAGGTTATACCAATCCAATAACTCTATCACATTTACCCTACCCTAACCATTTTTATTATAATACTTATAATTTTATTATTAATATATAGTATTATGTATCATATTATTAATACAAAGTTTGTTGTGTAATTACTACTAACATAGCAATTCATAATATTAACCTAAAATATCTAATAATGATAATTAATTATATTGCTTTTATTATTTATATTGTGATTTATATTAGTTTATCATGAACTTAGGATACTAAAACTTTATATATCTATGTAAAATTTGTTACATATTAAACTCGTTGGTGTTGATGTTATTAGAAAGTATAATTATTTTTAAAAAAATCAAATCATTTTTGGATGAGATTTTGATGGTAATAAGTATTTAAATTATAAAATTATAAAATATTAATATCATAAATTACAATACCCAATACCCAAAAACTCGTCAGTTATTTACTAACTAGGTATCAGCGGAACATGGTTGGTACATGATTGTGTTTGAGATATGTTTTGTAATCGGGTATGGGATCAGAATCACCAATACTCATCACATTGACATATGTAAATTAAACCATTTTTACTTTCAATTATATAACCTATATTAATCAAACTAAATCCAACTCCATTTTGTCATGATTTTAAATAGTTAATTAGTACCAGCAGATCAGATTTATATATTCACAAATAGTTAATTAATACCATTAGATCAAGATCATGTGTGTTATATAATTTTTCGTCATTTTAAAAGAAACCACATGGAATGATGAAATTGAAAGTCGACCAAAGTGGAGGGTTTAAAGTTTAAACAAACGTCATTGGGTCCAAAAGTGTCACAACCGAAAAACGAATAAACGAATAAGTATAATACTATACAAAATCTCTACCCTAATAAATAAAGATATTTTTGCCACATGTCATATT